TTGTGTGACCTTGTTGCAGTAAGTAAATAAATAATAAATAAATAAACCAGCCCTGAGGATGTAGCTCATTTCTGTGAAAGTCTTGGGTTTACTCTTTAGTACTGTAAAGCAATAAAAATATAGTTGATTAGTAAGTTCAAGTGGCCTTGGATCTCCCTATGATAGATTCTTACTAATATATCACCTAATGATTTCAATATTCCTAAAGCTCAAGACCTGGATTGATTCTATCTCATGAGGGAGAATTTTAATTCTGTATAGTTTCAGTTCTGCCCTACTTTCAATAGCTTCATTCTTTTACAATGAAATTTCTCTCATTAACCAGCTGGTCATCTTGATACCAAAAGAATAAACCACTGAGACAGAACAAAATTATGTCATTAGATTTCTTCTATGATTAAAAAAATACATTGTATATACAAAATAGGATAGATATACAGCTACTTTCGCTTAATTCAATGAGAAGAAAGATTTGTAGTAATAGTGTTTGGACAGGATATCCTGTCTGCTTCTTGTACTATGGAAACCACTAAGAAGATAACAATGTACAGTGCATTGATTATTGAAACTGTCCTATTAATCAGCTTTGAAACTGTCTCATTCATATTTGTTTCTCAATAAAATATAATAAAAAATAACAAATATCCACCCTAAAAAAATACATAGAAAGTCAACTTAGAGAGAGAAAAGGAAAACTGACAGGGCTTCCAGGAAGATGGTAGAGTCATGAGTAGCTGAGAAACAACCTCTCCAAGATTTGGAGTCCAGACACTGGAATATAGCAACATGAGGAGAAGGGAGTGGGTTCCCGGGTCACAGCAAAGACCTGAAGCAAGAACTAGAGCCCATGGGGAGACTAAAGAAAGGAGCCTCAACACATGAGCAGTTAGTACCCATGGACACCTTCTCCCTGAGACCTAGCACACTGTGTGGGACAGGCAGCTCAAACCTTCAGAGACACCGTGAATATACTGGTGACTTCATTTTTTTTTTTGTATTTTAGGGAAGGGTCTACAGGGTGTTCAGGGTCCCACTACTAGATTGGACTTGTAAAGATCCTTCTATTTATAGCCTCCCAAAAGTTGGAATTATACGTGTGCACCACCACGCCCAGTCTCAATTGCCATCTCAGTGCACCCCGGGGGGCAGGTCCAGCATGGCAGGCCTGGGGATCGATCCCTTGACCCCTACATCTACCTAAGCAGGCGCTTTAATCCACTGAGCTATTTTGCTGGCCCTAATACCAGTGAATTCAGACTCCACAGAGAAATACACCAGCAGCACGGAGCAGTGAGTGCTGTGGACTGTGCTGGCTGGTGAGTAATTCTATTCCAGTATGGTTTGGGTGTACTGTGGAGAGGAAATTGTCTTGTTGCCATTTTGGAAAGGGGCCAAATGAACTCAGAACTCAGAGCAACTGTGAGTTAGCTCCATCTAATGGCTTCCAGTGTCAGGATGAAGTGCAGCAATGGGTGACTGGTAATTAGTGAGCCAAGTTCAAGCCAGAAGGAGAACCTGGAGTGTTGTGGACTAAATAAATCAAGTCCCAGCCTTACAGTGAGAAACTGGAGCCAGCCTGAACCTTGGTGGAGTTGAAGACATAAGCTTGCTAGGACTACACACCCTTTTCTCCTGGTGCCTTGATGGGACACACAAATATGTGTCTGGACTCTGTCTAGTCCCTTTGGTCTACCAGTGACAGCAGAGATGACATAAAGTGGGCATTTTTTTCTTTTTTTAAAATTTTTTTTGTTTTCATATGACTGTGACTATTATTTTTAGTTTTTTGCTTTTGGTTTGTTCCATCTTTCTCTCCTGTCACCTTCACCAAATCCCCAAAGCTTGCATCATCTTCCTTTGTCCTTCAGCCTTGCCCAAAAATCTCTCTTTCTCTTTTCTCTTTTTGTACCAAAAGTCGAACTCGGGACCTTGCACTTGCCAGGCAGGTGCTTGTGCCACCGAGCTGTTTGCCAGGGCCTGATCTCTTTCTCTTATTCTATTTCTCCACTATTTCTGGTGAGAATAAAATTGCCATACTGAGAGGACACTTACTATATACAATTACCTGGTTTGCTTTAGATTTTGTTATACAACTACACATCTTGTTCACATGGTTAAAGGTGGCAAGTTAATGCCAGTTTGTCATTTTCCAGGTTGTGCTTGATGATATTGTTATTGCTGATTATACTACTTTAACCAAGGTAACATAGTTGTCTTAATCAATTTTTCTTTTTTGTATGCTGGGACTGAGATAATAAAGGCCAGTTCTGAAGAAGTAGTGACTAAGCCAAATAGGCAGCAACAACACATCCCTAGTGCATTGAGGAGGTGGTATCTTGCAACAGATTCAAAACCCAAAACTTGATGCACTTGTAAGATGTCTCTGAAAAGTCATAATTTCCTAAGGGTCCTTGAAACTAGCAATAAATCTAACTATCATAAGCTCTTCACAAGCATCAATCCTGCAGCATCCCACAGGAACGCAGACTTGGAAAGGAAAACTGGGCACCCCACGCCAGGATGAGTCCTGGGGTCCCCTCTGTGACTGACACAGAATTTTGGCAAAGCAGGCATTTAGGTCCCCCCTGCCACCTCCCTAGTCCTGGCCAGGGTCTAGGCTTGGCTGAGCTCTTTAGTTCCTGCTGTGTGTATAGCCCCACAGCTGCCATGACCACCAACCCTGGCTCAGTCACCATTTTTGTTTTCACTGCAGTTCCCCCAACCTCTCAAGCATGTAAATTTATAGTTCCTTCTCATGGAAACCAAGAACAGGTCTCTGGAACAAACTCAAGATATTTATCAAGCTGTGCAGTCTTAATAGGTGCCACTTTAAGTGCAAAGCTTTAAGCATTTCAGTACACAAAGAAGGATTCTTAGAGTCTCAATTCCCAATTGTTTTACACCCAGATTATTCAATGCACTCTGTACCTTGTTCCTGTCATATGGACTCCCACAGTGTCTCCTCATCTTGGCTTACTGAGTGCCCCTGTGCTCTGGACACCATGTTGGGTGATACCTTCCAGGTCCTGTGCAGCCAGCAGGGTCCTGAGAGGGGGCAACAAGAGCTTAAGGAAAGACAAGACACATAATAAAGTTAGGCCTCAGTGGGACAAAGCCCTCTAATGGAGAATCAGCAACAACTGTTCCAACCCCCTCATCTTTATGTTTGCACAATAAAAAAAGGGGAAACATGTAACAGGATTAAAAGTATAAGCTTTCAGTGTTTTGCTGCGAACACAGAAAGTAAGACATTTTTCAGAGCTGTCTGTGATATAGTTCACTGGGAGGAACACCAACACCAGACACCTGCTGTTTGTTGACATGGTCTGCCTTCTCTGGCATCCCATGTTCCTTGGACTGGCTTTGCTCTAATCACATGGAGTTCACTGACCTGTGGTTCAGCCTCAGCTCAGTTGTTCCTTGTGTGCACAGAAATTAAAGCAAAAAAACAAAAACAAAAACAAAAACAAAAACAGAAAACAAGACTATGAAGGAAGATAAAACATCAGACTTACAATTCTCCAAAGGCAACCCAGGGGCCAAAATCCACCCACCTGGACTTTCTAAAATGGTAACAGTGGAAATAATAAATCAGATGAATGAGGCTCTGGAAAAAATAAAATCAGAAATAATTTTTCAGATAACTACAGAGATGATGCCTGTAATGAAAAATATGGTTGTGAATCTAGAACAGATACAGATTTTAAAAAAATAAGAGCAGCTTATGAAAATTATGGAAATCACAAATGCCCAACACAGGAAAGAAATAGGATTCATGAAAAAGGCACAAACAAATATCCAGGAGAATAAAAGTTCTATTGAAAGTATACACAACAGAATGAACCCATGTGGGAACAGAATATCAGCTGTAGAAGACCGGTTTGCAGTTAATGATCATGAAAAGAATGATTTTTTAAACATAGCAAAGGGTCATAAAACAATCAATCTAACAGCTGTTTGAGATGCAAAGAATATAACATAGGATTGATCGGAATCAGTGAAAAAGCAGGCGATGGTACAAGTGACATATACAACATGTTCGTAGATGTAATGGTACTAAACTTCCCAAGCTTAGAAAATGAATCTTATGTACAGTTAAGTGAGGCATACAGAACTCCAATTAGCTAGATCAAACAAACAAAACTACATTAAGGCATATGATAGTCAAGATTGAAGAAATCCAACATAACAGAATATTAAAAGCTGTTATAGAAAAAAAATAAATCGACTACAAAAGAATGCTCATCAGAATCACAGCAGACTTCTCAACACAAATCCTCAAGTCAAGGAGAGCTTAGAGTAAAGTATTTCAAGCCCTAAAAGAAAAGAGCATTCAATCCAGTTTGACAATTGTCATAATAGATAGAGAAATATATTTCTCTGAAGAATACCTGAAAAAATGCATCAACAG